ATACAGAGGAAATCAAAGACAATTAAAGAAACATCCCTCTCGTCAAAAACAAATACACAAACAAAAGCAAAAACAAGTTAATTTCGTTTTTTCTCAAATGTGGTATATAAAAATTTGGCGTTTTGTCAGAGTCAGAGTACCATTAATAATTAATAAGTTATTATTGTTATTATAGAACGTACGTGCAGCTAATCAAGAAGAATCACGATGAAAGAGTAAAAACAACGTAGATAACGACAAAGCGTAGTCTGGAAACAAGCCTTCAACTGCATTTCTATATCTCCGGCCTCCTGTCTATCTTTCATGAGTAAAATCCAACTAGTGGTCTATTGTCAATGCTGCATTCTGTTTGGTTGAGCTACTACTAGGCTATATGTTATATAGCCCACTAGTAGCGAAAAGCGCCGGCTTTGAAAAACCAAAACAATGGCGGCTGAATCGCGTTTTGCTAGCTAAAGTTGTTTTGTCCCGATATTTTTGACCAACTAGTTAGATTTTACTAAAGCAATTATTCCTCTCGCCTCATGGCCTCTAAGTCAATAGCCTATTCGGCCTTCGGCCTCATGGGCTATTGACTAAGAGGCCATTTGGGCTCGAGGAATAATTGACCTGGACAGTGCCTGGAATCCGGAATCCACAGCATGAAATTCAGAATCCAAGCCTGTACCAATGGGGTAACAAAATCATGAAGAAATGGAAAATGAATTTACTTCTGTTACTCCAAAAGTCCGTTTTCGTCGATCTCTGGACTCTTAAGGGGTGGACTATATTCCATTTTCCGCACTGCCAAATAAAAGATTCAATGAAATTGCATTCAGTTAGCGTTGGCAATTCGCCATTTGCACATCTCCCATAATACACCTTGATTGCAACCTCCCCCCACCAGAAAAAGAAAAAAGAGATGCATGTAAGCACTGCCTTCATTTTCTCTTGGGAAGACGTTAATACCTTTGAAAATGTAAGAAATTGTTCCACTTCAATGCGACTCATGAATCTTGGTGAAAATTCTTGCAGGTATCATGACTCATTGGGTTAAAATCCCAAGGGGGGGGGGGGGGGAATGCTCGTATAGATGGGCTAGATAGGTATGCGCCGCCCAAAAGGGAGGGGTTTTAAGGATCTCCATCCTTAAATAGGGTATCAGTGTTGCCCTTGTTGGCGTTGTGTACCGAGAAACAAATCATCTGTTAAAACTAAACTTTACCTTAGAGTATTAGGAACTGCGTGTTTCCATTGAACCCTCAGTTTTTGTTTTTCTGTTGGACTGGGTCTTGGTGCTTCCTCACTCTGCATCCAGCGGACTGCGCAGCTGAGGGCCGATACGTCATATATGATTATCACAGAGTACCTGTAAAGAAGCCTGGAATCTAGTTTCACATCCAAGATGGCGAACCGCACGGTTTCGGACGCCAAACGGTAAAAGGAACCAATCCCCAATATCTTGTCAAAAAAATCATCCGTTCGCGTATTTATGAGAGCAAATATTGGAAGGAACAGTGCTTTGCGCTTTCAGGTAAGTTTTCTGTGTTCTTTTAAAATCGAACTACTGTGCGTTGTTTGGATCATCCGAGAACTTAAGCTTATATTGTAAGCTCAGTTCTTATGTCCATTTCATGCAGTAGAGTAGGATGCATTTAAGATAAGCTTTTTGTAGGTAATAACTTGTTTCATAACAGATGTGCAATTTTCTGACTTCTGGAATGCGCCCCCCCCCCCTCCCCCAAGTGGCTACTGCGGGGCATTTGCCTGCCTTGTCAGTCCCGGGGGTGGGGCATTTGCAAATTTTGCATGGCCTGGGGGCCCCGGGGCCATTCCCGAGCTTTTGACTCTCATGCAGCTTCCTATCAGAATATAACTAAACAGAAGGTTTTACTGGAAAACAAGCAGATTGGCTCATCTGTCAAGGACAGGAATAAATTGTAGAGGGTTGTAAAGGCATGTTCTTGATTTTATGCATGCATTTCTTCATTGCCACAATTACAGAATTACATAGTGAAATTGGAGCTATCGATGTGAATCAACGTTTTTTGGTTATTGGATCAAATTTCTGTTGATATTTTTTTAAGATCATCCTTTCATATTTATAAAACTATTCATAACATATAACTTAACAGCACTCTATTAATTTTAATGTCAATAATTTTTTATCAATACTAAAACCATAAACTGGTGCATGTTGTCGCAGCATGAAGTCTTAATTAGGATCCTAGCTCTATTACAAGGAAGACGTTAATTGGAACAAAAAATTGCACATTAACATGCGTAAAATGGCACTTTCGACTGTGCGATCATGGAAAATGTTGCAGTGTTGATGGAGGACGGGGCATTTGCCCTCTTTTTTCATCCCCACCGCGGGGATTTGACAGCTCAAGAGGCCCCACCCCCGGGAATTTGCCATCCCATGCAAAAAAAAGGGGTCAGCCCGGGGGAGGGCTGGGCGCAGGTGGAATTGACTGATGCATTATATTTTGAACATTATGCAAAAGTGCCGATAATCATATCTCAACCTTGGGCCACCTGTGCATGTACATGATTGTTTTGCCATGCAGCAGGCTAATGATACTACTCAAACGAGTATTTCGATCAAAATTTTGTGCCCTTTGGCTAAATCATGTGATGGACAGAGTCTTCCACCATCTATTTTGTGTGATTCCACAAAATATCCATACCCACCCCAAGAAGGGTCATTGGACTCATTTCATGGGGAGGATGGTCAAAAAAGCCAAATTTTGAATAGAAAGTATGAAGGTAGACTGCAGCGTGCAAAAAAGTACTGTCCGATAGCCTGGGGCTAGTGGATTTTACTATCGGGCTGGTGAATTCTGTTCTTAACTTGCCCAATGGGCAAGTGAAGTATTTTGAGGTATTGAACTTACAGAAGAACTGTGAAATCAGTTCTGCACCCCAAAAAATTTTGGGGGCTAGTTGAAATGACATTAGCTAGTAAATGCTAGCTTCAGCTTGCCCGAATGGCAAGCTGCAAAAGTGGCTTTCTTTGCACCATGTAGACTGGAATTTGCAAAAGAGTTGGGGGAAACATGAAGACCTTCACTAAGGGGAGTATGGATAATTTTTCTTGATCCACTCGTTTGCTTCCAACATAATTGTGCTTTTATTGTAAGCCACTTACATTATTTTGTGCGGTGAACAAATTCACAACGTTACTTTAATTTATGATTTACCAGTACTAACCAGTCAATGTAAAACGCAGACTGCGGACTGCAGCTACCAGGGGTAAAATGCAGACTGAGGATAAAATGCTGACTGCAGACTGAGAGTAAAATGCAGGCTTGGTGCAAAATGCAGAATAAAGACTGTAGACTTTTTTTGAACATTTGTGCTCCTTCTTCTCCAAATCGATGAAATAGCTACCCGGTATCAGTTACACACTTTTCTTCCTAGTCGAAGTGCATTGCCCATTCGCCAGAAGTTTCAATGAACATCCGAACAGCTTACGGCTGCGTACCTTGATTTGCAATACTTTCATAAAAGGTCATCCAAATTTCCTGCAGAACATCTTTCTTTGTTGTTGGAATGATTTACTCCCTTTTTTATCACCATAATTTTTCCTGTACAGTATTTTGGGTCAGCAGCTCTCATTTAAGCGTAAACATCGTGGTGTTGTACCAATTCACGGTCCCTGGTCACGTATATCGAGAACTTCGCATCTTAAGTTCAAGCGTGAGGTCTCTCGGACGGAAAAAAGGTTCAAGATTGCGATTATGTTTTTGGGTCGTCGACGACATTCCAGAGAAGAAAGGAGTGGATTTATGAATGCAGATGTTGTCAAGAAAGTGTTCCTTTAAATGTATTTGCATTTTATCCCAGCGTGCATTTTACTCTCAGTCTGCAGTTTGCATTTTACACACAGTCTGCATTTTACCCCTGGTCCGCAGCCTGCAGTCCGCAGTCTGCGTTTTACACTGATCGATTCACTAACATTTCAACAACTGATTACAATAATAAAAACTGCAATGAAATGGTTTTGAGAAAAATGTCACTGAAAAGTTCCAGTTGTTTGTACTATTATGCAAGCTTGCATGTATGCAAGCTTAATTGTTAAAAAAAAAATAATAACATTAAGTACTAACTATCTAAGCTTGTTGTTCCAATAAATACTATGAAGTCAATGATCAAATGGTTTGTAAATGTTTCTGTTGTGGCCAGACCGCTCAGGCTAACTTTAGTTCAAGGCTTATTTTCTTTCCATTCCCCATCTCTTTGTCATTCATTTCAACATGCCCCCTCCTCCCAAAAAATTAAATAAGTAAATAAATAGATAAACAAAAATGATGATAGTAATCAAATTAAATTTTGTTAAACACCTAAAAATAAAGATAAGCGAAAAAAGTTTAAAACAATGTTTCGATGTCACCATGACATCATTATCAAATGACAAGATAAATACTAAAAACTGACCTAATATATACGATTTTCATTTACCCGTACAAACATGTTGCTTTTGTTTTCTAGTTTGTTTTATCACTTTAATCCGTATATATAAGGTCAGTTTTTAGTTTTTATCTTTGTCACTTGCTAATGATGTCATGGTGTCTTGGAAACGTTATGTTAAACTTTTATCGAATAAAGACCCATTAAATTAAATACCACTAAGGTATTTATAACGGATTAACTGCAAACTTTTAAGTAGAATTAAGCCAGCAATTAGCTGCTCCGTATTAGAGGGTAATTTTGACTTTTTGCTAAAATAATTTCACGATCCATTGTGCCAAATGTCTTGTTGAGATCCAAGAAAATTGTGTACTTTGATAAGACTGCTGATTTACATGTAAATACCAGCTATCAGACCCTTCCAGTGTGTAGGTTACTGAGAGGAATAGGTTACCTTTAATACCGCGTGATGACGATTTAAAAATATAATTTTTTAGTTTATATCAGATAATTCCTTCAAACACTTTATCCACTACAATAACTCAGTGTGGGTACTGACAGTAAGCTAAACTTGTACGCCTCCCAGAGAAGGGTTAGTCTGGGCAAAGTCATCCCGAGCCACTTCCAAATCCAGTAGTGCCAACTATGGAGAAAGCGCCCCAGTGCTGAGGACTTTTGGTGTCGTCCTTTGATTGCAGAATATTCATGGCTCTCTGTAGCGATGACGCTGCATCACGGGAAGACTTGTATTCTTGGTAGAATGCTTCCATGAGTTCAGAGGCGGATTGATCGTCAATTTTCCATAGGGTTGTAATCACACAAGCTGCACCTGATGCTAGAAACGCGCGTGCGAGACCTTCAAACAGAAGACAGTATTTTAGAATGGATCAAGAGAACGTTTAGTCTACAATGTTCTCAGAGGGAGTTTTTGAATAATGGTAGCGTGTCGCGGATCGGGGGTCTCAGGTTGTAAGTCAATGGTGCGGGTTAGAATTCGAGGGTGCGGGTTTTGATGTTGCAGGTGGGAAAAATGATTTTGCGTGAATTCAAAATAGAATTCTGTAACTTGAATTTTTCCCAACTGCGACTTCCCAACTACACCCGCGACATACAACCCGCGACCCGCGTCCAATAGTCACACACTTTTAGAAAAGGTTTTTTACCTAGGTGACAAGGGAGTATGGGTCACGCTTGTGGGATGGTGGGTTATATTTTTCATCTAGTTCGTTTTTAGCGAAAGGAAGAAAACTGATCAACAAGACACGCAATTTTTCTTGAGAGTATATAAAGATGTTCAGTTTCCTTTATATAGATATTCATATTAAGATTAAATGTTCCTAATTGTATTGAAACAGACACAGTACTGTTTTAGTCATTGTATCCCTTATTTTTGTTTTACACGTATACATTTGTTTGACCTGTTTCCCGCGATTTCTAGCGATAGAATTTAATATAAATAAGCAAAATCAAAGTCTGGATCCTTCTTTTTAGACTGTCGGATTACCATGACAACGAGGCAGTGCTCATCCAAATAAGCATAGGTTTTAAGTTCTTAAGATAAACTGCTCGAAAATTATGGTAACTGAGGGTTTGCTTCATGAGTATTGTGTTCAGTGAGCCTGCTCACAGGAGATTGGACCACTTGACGTGTATTTGAGTTTCAATTGGAACCGCTAACTCCAAAAGTAATGGCAGTCACTAGCAAGATACTCATAGCGCTCATAACAGGGAAAAAATTGTTTAAGATGGACGCTTTGATTATGAGAGGCCCTCGATCTCTTGACAGAAAAGCGGTGTTCTCAAGTAGAAACTGTTTTATTTGATCTATTACTCTTATGAATATGTAAACAGACATTCCAGGTGGCCAATTGAGTGCCGGAAAAAATCCGATGGCGTGAGTGCCGTATTTACATTAAAAATGACACTTGAAACAGTCTTGATTACAGCAAGAAGCCCAAAAATGTGATCGCTTTTGAATTATTCACATTCTTTCGTACAAATTTAATCCAATCAGGAACCAGCTGGAAACTGTCCTCGACTTCTGATTGGTTAATGTCTGCATGGAAGAATGTGAGTTAATTAAAGGAGGTCAAACTTTTGGGCTTCTTGCTGTAATAGCATGATAAATTGTACTTAAAAATTTATTAACAATATGAAATTAACTGTAATAGCTCACCCAATATGCCGTCTCCTGTCACTTTACCCAACCCAGTTTCACAACAACTAAGTACAACCAGCTCAGCGTTGAGTTTCATCTCTCTTATTTCTTCGGCGGTGAGAATACCATCGCATTTAGTGTCGGACTTCGCCAGGACGATAAAGCCTGGCATGCTAAAATCACCGTGGGAATCCGCGTTTTCGACAACAGCGTGAGTAGCAAAGTGCAAAATTTTATGCTTAGGCATGGCAGCTACCACATTCCTCTTCTTGGCCTTTTCTCTCGTTAACACATCTGAAGCTTCTGAATTTATTATCTCGCTAATGAGGTGTACTTCGCGTTCAGCAAAGGGAAGCTGCAAATGCCTTTCAAAGGGCATTTTGGGGTTTCCGACGGCCAGAAGGCTTAACTCTAAAGATGCGTTGTCTTCAGAGCTCTTGCAAATTGCACTGCTTAGTTCAAGCAAATGGATTGAAGGGCTGGTTGAAATGACATAGTTTTCCATTAAATATGGATGATTAGCGTCTTCCTGCAGGGCAGCAAAGGGAACTTTCAGCAAGAAATCCTGAGGAATGAAAATAATTCGTGTCTTTTTATCCTCTCGCGGTAGAACGTTTGCAATAGGGGCAATAAGTATTTTGTGCAGCTGGCAAAGCATTGGCTGCCATGGTGCCAAAACAGGGTCGTTATTGAGCTCGTTACGGGTTTCCTGCGTCGTTGGTGGTGGATCGGTTGATACCGAGACACCGGTCACGTTGCTATTCGGCGCGTCGTTGCCATGAGTCAAGAAAGCTGCAACATTTTGGCCTTTTTGAGCTTTGGTGTCACTTTGAGTGGTGCAAGACTTTTGGCTTGTTTCACCAGAATTCAAATCTATGTGATCAGATCCAAGATGATTGCCTTCCAAATCGTTATTACAACTTGATTGCAGAGGATCGTGCCTACCCTTCTCCGTTTCAGACTTTGCTTTACGATCAGCCGGACAATCCCATTGAAGGTTATAGAAGAACGAATTACCATTGTCTTTAGATTCACATTTGAACCCTGGAAACAGGTCAAGTCCCCTAAGTGATTCTAGCACCTCATCAGTTTGAATATTGGTTCTAGGCTGCACTTGTTGTCCATCTAAAGGCAAATGAGGAGTATTCTTGATAAACTGGCTAAGCTCTTCCCGTTGAGATTGTTGAGCCATTGAGCTCCTAAGTTTAAAAATAAATTCATCGTTTACTTCAACCTTAAACTCTGTTCCACTTTGGAGAGGAGTTTTGCTGAAATCTAAACTCCCCGTCGGGTGTAACACCCAAGCATACACCCAATTGAAGATTGCCCCAGTGCGATCGAATTCCTTAACCAAAGAATACATGACCAAGGCCGTAGAAAGCTTGCGGCTAACTTGCAGAAGACTTTGGAATGACTGAGTAGTAAACTCTTCACGCAGGCAGTTTATGTCTGTTGGCGAGGAAATGGAGCCCCATACCCGATTCCGAACAATTTCGGTTAGTGCTCTACCGCGACTGGCATCAGCAAACACAAACGCCTCTTTATACTTCTTCTGAGCCACTAACACCATTTGCAACAAGTTATAAGCATCGGCTTGGTTCTTTTCAAAGTTAGAAAGCTTTGACTGATCGTCCTTTCCAATCTGGGAGCGTATCGACTCCAACGTTTGAAAAGCATCGATGATTGATTTTTCCGCTTCTGGTAAATTTCCACTGAGAAAATAATCCATGGCAAGTTGATGTTGCATGATAGCCACCCCACCGACGTCCAGTCGTCTTTGAGCATTATCTCGGTACTTCAAGTGACATTCAATTGCTTTTTCAAACTGTGCTAATGCTCTATGTACGTTGCCAAGATTTCCCCAGGCCATTCCTTCACCGGCAACATTCCCAGCTTTCCGTGCTGTATCAAGAGCGACTCGAAACAACTTCGTGGCTGGGTCGTAATAACTGTTAAGAAAATAATAATTTTAAAAGAGAAACAGCATGTACATGAAATATAAATCTACATTTAAACAAATTAACAATGCGCCACTTTTTCTTATATATTTTGAATAATCAGGTGAGCCGCAACTCTTAGTTTGCATTCATGTTCCTGGCACCAAAAGTAAATGTTTGATCTTCACCGATATATCATAGCGCATGTGCAAATTTCCGTGTATCAGTGGACAAAAAGTAAAATAAATACATGCAGGTAAAATGAATTCTGAGTTTTGTTTTTTTGTTTTTTTTTTTGTTTTGGTGTTGTTGTTGTTTTTTTCTTTCCGTTGTGTTCTTGTTATTGCTTTTTCTTGTTTCTGTTCGTTGGTTAGTTCTGTTTGTGATGAGTGGGGTTTGCTAAGTGAAGGATAACTATCATGGCCCTGTTTTATAATAATGAAGACTTAGGAAGAACAGATGCCATACCCTAACGTCGTGTACAGCTTGCCAATTTTGTTGAAGGCTATTCCCATTCTTGCAAAATCACCAAGCTGTCCTGCTAGCGAGTATTCGATGAACTGATAAACCACAGAAGCGTCGGTCTCTTGGGGATTATAAAATTTCAAGAAACCGATATTACCGCAAGCGATGGCAAGGCCATGTATATCTCCTCTCTTTAGAGCAATGTTGCAATGTGTTCCATGAAGTTGCTCTGCATCCCAGTACCTACAAAAAGACACATTTCGATAAATCTCCGACCGTAAGAGACTTAGCTGTTAACATTAGGAGTTCCGTTCTCTTATCGTCGAACGCAACCATCGCATAATTTCCTTCATAGACCTCGATGTTAGTTACAATTTCTTCAATTAGTAGAGGGGGCATTTCCCCTCAGCTACATCTTACAGACACGTTAAGTTTCATTTATTCATTCATTGACTCATTCATTCGTTCCTTGCGCATATTGGTTTTGTCAGAGGGTATTTCAGTTGATGACGTTGACTTTGATGATCGGTCGAGGTATGGAAGGGGGACAGGGAGTTGTAATGTTGCCAAATGAAGCAACTGCGGGTTAGGAGAAGGTAAAGAGCGTTAACTATAAATCTTAACAAGACTGAATGATTACCTTCCTTCAGATCTAAAGACGTTACCAAGATCCCCACAGCAACTTGACACAAGCCCAGCGTCCTTCAATTGTTTTGCTAAGTGCAAAGCTTCACGAAGGTATTCTTTAGCTCGTCCCCAGTCTGCAGCGGATCTGCAGGCGTTACCATAATACTGAAGAAAAAGTGTTTTTGTGTAGTTGCTCATGTTAGATTTGGAAATCATAAGCTCTTTGAAGTAGTTTTCTATGGCTTCTTTTAACTCTCCACGATCTAACAAACAGAGCGCCAGATGTATTTTAGCAAGCAGCTCTCTGTCAAGGTCCTTCATGAGGGTGGCAGATTCCATGGCCTTTTTGTAAAAATGTTCAGCTGTGTTAAGTTCTTTTCGTAGACGGTGTATTGACCCTAAATTTAGGGAAGCGTTGAATAGCAGCTCTTCTGTCAAAAGTGGATCTCCTGAAAAAATGCGTGTACAATCAAAATCACTGACTATCAATTTTTCTCCCAGCGAAATGAAAGGCACTGCTTCGAATTTATTCTTTTCATGTTGTGTATTGTTTATTGATGTATTTATGTTTAATTTTCTGTCGAAAAAACGTTATAGAGTGACCACAGTTGTTGATGTAACATGTTTCGCTTAGTTAGTCCTTTGCTACATCAACGATAAAGTCAATGACCAGTATGAGACCGAATTAAATTTGCAAGCAATGAAAACAAAAAAAAGCAAAACAAAAACAATTAAAAAACACTGAGCGGCTCATCGCTATTGGAGACAGAATACAATTAACGAAAGATTTTCCCTTTTCCCTGCTTCTGCTTGTGTCACTTTTTTTTGTAACTCCTTAGCGACTGAAGCAGAAGGTTTGATCTCATCACAAAGCTTACCCTCAACTTGCACGTTCTTTGTGGAGACGTCACGAGTAACCGGACCAAATGTAGGGCAAAACCCAACAAAAAATAGAAAGGAGATCCTTTCTTGAGCCGGGAATTGAAAACGCTTTGGCTCCAAAAAGAACTTATTCGGGTCTTATTAGTTTTATGGGAAATTTGATTTCACCTAAAAACGCAAGGAATGGCTAAAGTAAGCCGATGTTGAAGCCTAAATTATATGTTAAAGAATCAGAACATACTTTAATAGGGGTAGATTCACACATTCATAAAAAACTGAAACAAATCCTTGAAGACGGGATATCTATTTTCAAAAATTATGTTTGTTTGATTTGTCCATGGATTTACAGGTACACAAATTGATGAACAGTTGAAACCGAAATGTGAAATTTTTAATTATTTTTATCTGGAATAAATGGCAAATGGGCTTATGGATATGTTGTAGTTTAGTTTTATTCTCGGTTTAAATTTTCTCTTCTTTCCTTTTTGGGTGTGGTAATGTATGATAATGATTTTGAAAGAAAAGAAAATAAGATTTTAAACAAGGGTAAAATTGAACCACAACAGATACACGCACTGACGGGCAGGAGTGACTCATAAGATACCTTAATTAAACAAATGTTAGCCGCATCGACTAGCATCAATCATATTCTTTCCATAGAAATTGTAATTCTCATAATTCTGAAAAAAGAGGTAACGAATTTGAACTCATGTCCGAACAGTATGGAATCGGACTTCTGGTGTTCAAAAATCGAAAAATTGAAAGATGAATTTTATAGTTGTAATTTTGGAAAATAAAATAGGACAAAGACAAATAGTAATAAATTATCGTGAAATCGAGGGAAGTGTGTTCAGTTTTCACCTGTCTAACTGACATTTCTGACAGATATTACCATGAAAAAAAAAATTCCTCTGCCATTTTCCCTGTCTTTAAGAAAATAGTCTGTGGCGTTTCGATTTCATGTAATGGCAAAGGAAAGCGAAGAATTGTGAAGTAGGAGAAATAAAAAAATAAAAAAGAGTGATAATATTGTCACTCGTCCCTTACCGTGTATAACTCCTTAAACGTTTTCGTTAAACCGGAGGAATTTTAGCCCTAACAAGAGAATCTTTCAGAGATTCTTCCTTCCTTGGCCGCATTAAGATATATTTGCGCGAGCGTGTTGTTGCCGGTAATAAGGTGCCAGTGTTTCACTAGAATCTTTTTGAGAATCGGAGTAGCAGGATTGAAAGTCGTAACGAAAGGAAAAATCGTTTTTGATGTTTAGGTTTATTTTGTAGAGCCGTTTTGCGTGATTCGCTGAAACGAACTTCGGCTAGGATTGTTTCGACGAGTTCCCGACGGTAACTTCGTTCTATAAGGCGAGTTAAGTTTACAAAGCCCTTCTTACACTGAGAGGGTGACATGAGTCGAAATGCGTGTATTGGAATGTTTCTGTTGGCTTAAAATGTGTTTGAACATCGGGTATTTTTCCTTGAATGAGTCTTCTAAAAACTTCAGTGTCAAGGAAAACAATATGTTTTGATGACATTTCGTGTGTAAATTTAATGGTTGCGTGGAAAGAGTTCGCGAAGTCAATCAAATTACTGATTTCGGTTTCCGAGATAGTCCACACCGAGAACATGTCATCAATAAATCGAATGGCTCGTAAGGGCTTGCATTTAAAAGTTGTTTCTGATCAATGCGTGCCTTGAAAATGACTGGGAAAGCAACCGCCATCTTGGTGCCCTTTGCTATACCGTGTGTCTGTAGGTATTAATAGTGTTTGTCGTTGAATTTGAATGAATTTTCTGTTAGAATTAGCCGCATTAAGTCTCCCAAAAATTGAGCAGGGATAGGTAGAGTGGGCTGATAGTGTTCTTCTTAGAAGCGACAAACGATTTCGATTCCCTCTTCCCGGGGAATGTTAGTGTACATGCAGAGAACACACCCCCAGTGCAGCTAAAATAGCTGCCTCTGGGAGTGGCGTGTTTTCAATGAAGTTTATAAAGTGCGTAGTATGTGGCTTGATCTATAAGATTCTTCTTTTTTGCGTGATCGGTTGTAGAAGCGAATCCACAAAACTAGAAATGCGCTCTGTGGGACCACCACTACCAGAGACGATATGTGTGCCGAAGGGAATGGCTTTGTGTATAGGTTTACTTCGCTGTTAGTTCTTAAAGTTTTTAGTGCTTGTCTTTGGTTTGCTGATAAGTTATCTCTAACTGATCATGAAGCAGAAAGTAATAGAAGCAATCTCATATTTTGTGCGTTCCAAATAGCTTTCTAAGTCAACTGATGGTTGTGGCAGCGGTTGCCAATTAGATTTAACATGGAACGGGTGAGACTTGCTCTTAGAATTAGCAAAAATATATTGCAAGCGCATAGAGCGAGTAAATGCTTCAAAATTAAAAATATGTGAAGCCGGTTTGCGGGGAGTGGGATTGAATTTTAGGCCTTTTGCGAGCAAAGCCGTTTCGTGATCAGTAAGAATTTTTGAGGACAAATTTTTCATGTATTTATCATTATTTGTCCCATACAAGGTTATGTGTGTACTGATTTTAATTTGCTTTACGCAGAAGTGAGCACTTTTGACCTTTAGTCTGGGATCGCGTGGGGTTAGCGTAAGCCGAGAGTTAGTAAAACAGACAGTTCGATACATTGCAACTCTCTTTATTTTCAGATTTGGAAAATACATTAAATAGAGTTGTGAGATAGCTATCTTGACTTGCAATAGTTCAAAGTCTTTGTTGTCTGCATTCTGCTTCTTTCTGGCTAGTTGTTTGGGTTTGTTAGCTCTGAAGGTTGATCTGTTCGCAGCGGACTGGATCCTTCGTTCTGCTTGCTCACGTTTTGTTTGATCAGGAATCATGGTGGCTGGCGTTTTTTTTAGACTCTTGATGGTCTGAGTGTCGGAGCTAACGTTCAATAATGAGGCTTGGAGGTCCCGTTCTGCTCTGGTACAGATCTCTTCGAGATGTTTGTTGAAATTCTGGTCGGGTCTAAGGTGCGGTCTGGGCCGGTACTGAAGACCAATTCGACATGATCTTTGAGAACCATAATGGATTTTTTGGAATTGACGCGCCTGGATTCTATATTCGCGATTCTGTTCCTCAAGTTGCTGAAACCCGCTTCCGTGTTAGGACGTTTGGGGGCTGGCTGCGGCGGTTTACCGTCGTCTGGGCTGGCTCTCTTGGTACCTGCTTGCGTTCTGGGACGCTTGGAGGCTGGTTGCGACGATGATATGTCGTCTTCTGAGTCAGAGTCGGCCTACTCTGGGACCTTAAGTCGCCTTAGGTCGCCTTTAGTCACTTTAAATCATTGAAACGTTAAAGAGGTTCATATTGTTTCGTAGTTATTACTTTTTTAGTTTTCTATATCCAGAATGCAGGATTTCTCATAAAGTGTGTATAACGGCCATGTTCAATAATATTAGTCACAGACCCACCCCACCCCCCACAAAAAAAACTCCCACATGCAGTGACTTAAGACCCATTAATTTCTTCTCCCGCCCTCTAATTCATACATTTAATTACTTTAGGCAATTTAATACACATAATGATTAGTTGTAAGCAATACAAGAATAACAAGAGACTATAAAGGGGACAGAGAGGGCATCCCCCATATACACCCTATTCCATAGGTAATTCGTCTCGAGTTATTTTTAACACGGCAGATTTCAAGGGGGGATTAGACAACAGCCAATCACATAGCGCGAATGTGTTCCGCGTGGATGACCCACGCTGAGAGCTACGCGTCCTTCACGAAATGACGCAGAACAAAATGGGGGAAGACCCGGAGAGCGATGTTGCTATTCCTTTTGTCGACGAAAACGACTACAGCGAGATTTCTGCGAAAGCTGTGTCAGCGAAACCGAAATTAAAAAAAGAATCGCCCTTCCTCTCTTGTATAGAGCTAACAGTAGAGCAGGGAAATCCTTAACACACTGAATATTCTCTCCGGATCATTTATAATTTACAGTTTGAAGAGAGCAATTTCTGGTTTGATGTTTATTTTTTTCAGTCTTTATAGCGATTATTCCTACCCACTTACTTTGTCAATTGTAGGCGAACCCTCCTAAAGCTGAATTTCAAGGGACCATATTCAAGCTCAGAAAGAGAAATAAAATTTCGTCGTTGCTTATTTACGTCCTCCATAAAACGAGAAATTAGGCATTTTCACGTCGTAGTCGTGCAAAAACGGGAAAGAAATGAACAAAAAAGTGTGTTGCACGTGCGAAGTTGTTGTTTTGCTAATTAAACCTATTGTTTTTTTGACGTTCTAGTTGTCGTCCGCGTCGTTGGATCTTAAACTCCCTAAATTGTACAAACGACCGATTTCAATAGACCGGCGCAATTTCTCATTTTATTAAAGCACTGAGGTTACGACAACTTCGAGTTAAACTGATTTCACGGGTTGTCAAAGAGTCCAGCGATTCCTTTTTCCCAGGAGAGCGCCGACTCATTTCGCTTCAATATTCAGGAATGCTCTCGATCTTTTTACGCTTTCATTGCCTCTCGCCCGACATGTTTTGCACGGCGTTTGGCCATGCGAAACCTCCACGAAACATCCACGCCTCGCGCGAGGTAACTTTATCC